TATTTAAACTGTACCAACTGTTTAAGACAAGAAAATTTAATCTTGATGCCATATCAGCAGGATATAATATATACGCGGCATCCGTCGAAAACAGCCGTAAACATTATGGTTTTTGAAGCTATAGATTCTTACGAACACCGACTGAGTTTATTATGGTGTCATACTTACTCTATATCTGATCTTTACTATGTTTCTCGTGTATGTATAATTAAATAAATGGATTTTGAAATTCAGTCAAGCGGCAAGGCAAATGTCTCTTGAAGAGTTCTCAATGTAGATTATATCTACTTTATGTTAAAGATCGACATATACGTGTACTTGATACGAGACCAAAGTCCTACATGAGACGCCAAATTATCTTCGAGGGCTAAAAATATCACTCAGAAAACACAATAAGCTGATTGTTAAGCATGAAAGTGGCAGAACGAAAATTTTTTGATCAGGAAAAGCATTATTGTATTTTCACAATATACCAAATATTTTGCTTACTGTCGGATTGTATTTTAGTATGCTGAGCTTACATAAGTATAGTTCATAACAATTTATATGTATACGTTTCAATAACAATAATGGAAAAACATTTCTGTTACATCGATTATATGTGGGGTTGCAGTCAGGGTTCTGTTTATATTCTGCTGCGTCCAGGCTTTAAAAGATTTTCCCCTAGAAGCGAACAGCAGGAGTTAAGAACGTTGCAAAGAGGAGAATGTGTGTCGGCCTAAGTACTTATGTATATAAACCGGCAAAAGTGTCTATAATGCATAGGTTTACGCCGTACTCCAGAAGTAAGAAAATCTTAGAGTGAGATACAGGATCACGTTTATAACAATATCAAATATTATCGGTGCAGGCAGCACTGTTCCCCGTTATTTTAAGCTTCGTAATTTGTATTCATCTAAGCGCTTTCCTGATTGACCATTTTTATGAGCGCATGTTTAATAGGGACAATGCAAGCTTCTTTCCAGAGTAAAAAGTCCAGGTGATATCTAAAGGGATGCGTATTATTCGAGGAAGTAATGTACATCTCGAGAGATACAATGTAGGTGATGCGAATTTCGTTCGCGCAAAGTATACGGCCGCACAAGGTATACTCTCGGAGACGCTAGCAATAAATTCAATGTACTTCTTTGTACCGGTGTAGGTGTGCTGTATATATTTATGAATAACGTTTGCTATGGATGAAATGAAAAAAAGATTTGCTAATATATGTTATGGCATATTAGTAATATTATAATAATATATAGACCCATCACTGACACTGTTGAACGTATTTCGTGACTAGGCGAGGAATTAATAAGTGCAGTAATATGTTAATACGACATATTACCGTACGTAAGTAAGTCGTGATTTGACAAATGTATAAGGCATATAGCGCTATGGAACCCCTTAGCTACGTACTGCCTAAAAGCGTAGACGGAATATTCGCTATTTGATAAGTTAATATGATCAGTGGCTAATTCGTCATTCTCTCTCGAGCAAACAGATCACATTTAAATTCATTATATAATTCTAGATATCTTCGTAGGTCTAGGAAATGCCTGAACGATTTTTTTTTCGTTAACGTAGTGGTGTATTTGATTCCCACGCTTGATTCACAATATTCATTACTTTTGTTCCATGCTAATGTTTTGAGTCGGCAAAATCCGATGCGATTCCGTATATTTATGGCCTGGATTTCTGAGCAATCTAGTCCACAGTCCTACTTGGGAGTAGGTTTGAAAATTAGCGAAAAATCAACGTCGGCGGCATAAGGAACTCCAACCAAATATCGCTTTAGTACACGTTCATAGAAGAATAATAAGATCTTTTTAACGACACAAACAAATCAAAGATATATTTGCCTTGCTCATGCAAAGGTCAGCTAAGTACGACTTTATCTATTCATCATTTAACCCTATTTCGGTAATCGGATTTCAGTAATCTAATTATTCAGAACAGTTTTACAGCACTTACAAATACGCAATTAATGGAACATTATCTAAAGGCAACAGCTTTGATTTTAGGGGTAAAGCAAATGTGAGTATTTTTGCCTACACAGATCAACTACTTTTTACCCACTGTTATGCCGAAATTCATAGAAATTTCTTTACTCTAATTATGCTTAACGATTGGAAAAAATATTCCACTCTAAACAAATAAACACCTTAAATGAAAAATATCCTGAAATGACATGTTGTAATTAACTTATTGAGCCATGCGGTTAAGTTATTTCTTGTGCATGTGCCATAATTGTTGAAACTAGTTGTGCAATTTCCGTATATATTCATATTCCGCACATATCCTGAACATACACTTATAATAGGGCCATATTTTTTAGCTCTTCTTCAATTTGTTAACTGTGTTTAAAGTTTAGGATCGAAAACTTCATACAATATATCCATAAAGCAACGTTGCCAGTGATGTGACAACAGAATGAGCACCACCCATGAAGTGGTCCCACCTCGGCAGAAAAAGTGCCACAAAAGTTATAAAAGGCAATGACGACTTCTTCACTAAGTGCTACTATTATTCTTTGCTAGATTGGGGCCGCGGCCCATAAAACCCCCAGAAGTGGCTGGACCGGTATCAGCTCGCCATGACAGCGGGCGGCACGCACGCAACGGAAAGATTATATCATGTCCCTTCTTACCTTTTCACACAGTACGCTGACCTAGCTTGTTCACTGGCGACAACACGCTAGGGCCTTCTATTTAATTGATGTAGCAAAAGCTTAAAGAGCTATCGTAACCCATAGGGTGAGTGGCAGTGCCGATTAAAGTAGGGAACAGTTTCGCTTGTTGTTTTCGAGTTGGTCCTGAACGCGATCCAACAGAGAACGAGTAGGACGCTTCGCCCGTATCCTTACTTTGTGTCATTGCCCCTTTTAGCAACATACGGTTCAGCCGACAACACGGGAGAGTATTGTGGTGCGCTTTCTAGTGAACACCTATCGCGACAACACATGCGAGTAGGCGCTTGGAGGGTTGCCTGCAGCTGCAGCATGACAAAAGCCTACCTACCAGGATAGTATGTTAATGGTAACTGGCTTTCAGAGGGTAGCGTCCTGCATTGGGGCGGCAGCGACCTTCGCCATATGAGCAAAAACGATAAGGACTCCCTCAGTACTTCAGTTGGAATGGCCGATGCTGTTTAGGGTAACGAAGCTAGGGTGACAAGGATTTATTATTAGACGACTGCTACTGTCAGCAGGATACGATGTTCCAGACCGAAGAAGCAGCAGCAGGAGCAGTAGTATTAGTAAAAATAGCCGTTGTAGCGGACCACAGTATGGTGGTAGCGTAGATGCTATGACCAGTAATGGCCGT